CATAACGAAATAGATTTGGCAAACAATCCAGTGTATCTGCCCTTCTGCTTTGGAAAGCGTCAAATGATTTTACAATGCATTTTCGCAGAGGTTTGTTGATTTCTAAAACGCAATGGCCAATCAGAAGTGTTTAGGTTGGAATCCACGCACTCACCGACTTTTTGTCTAGTGCTGAGTTCTATCATGCTCGTAACTCTAACAAAGCAATAAAAAAAGTTTCATTGTGTAGTCACATTCATTGGTTTGTTTTGTTTTTACTTTATGAGATTGTGATGAATGAGTGACAGTTTTTAATAAATTTGAAGGGGGCACTCTTTGCATGCTGTATAAGATATTCAGAATTTAAATAAAACTTGTCTTTTTCATGCTTGACAAGTGGTCACGTACGACACAGAGATAGCTAACTACTACACTATATAAAGATAATAATTTCAGAAGCACAGAGTGATGTGATTCTGCAACCGAGCCTGGTCCAAACGCAGGATTTAGGTAAGGAAACAGTTGTTATTTGTATTGGCTGCCATGCCAAATCATGCACCTGCTTGCTTTTCTGTTCAATATAATAAAGTGTTTTTGTGAACGTATATGCTTTAATAACAAATAATTGTAACATTTTACAATAGGGCTCCATTAGTTAATGTTAGTTAATGTATTAAAGTGTATTAAAGTGTTAGTTAATTATTGTAAAGTGTTACCCAAATAATGTATTTCGAGCATTCACTTGAAAATAAAACTTCTTGTTTATTTATCTGTTGTATAAAAGAAATATGAGTGTGAGAGTTGCTCTAGTGCTGGATATCAGTCATGTGATCATCACGGCCCAACAGCACTCTTGCTCATGAGATACGTATTAAATATTAGAAACTCGATGAAAAATGAAAGCAGCAAGATCCAGACCTACAGGAGTAATGATTACTGACCTTTGATCGGTAGGATCCTCAGAGCAGAAGAAATTTCACTGAGTGTGTGAGTAAAGGTGTTTGTGAATGTGTGTAGATGTGTGTTAGTTACAGGATCAGAGAATGACACCGTTCCTCTGTCATAGTCCAGATACACTCTCACACGATCAAGCTTCTGATCAACACAAAAGCCAAAGTAATTAGAGCAACCATGATAATACTCCACACTCCAGACACAAGGGTTGAAGAAACCCCATCCCTTTCTCTGGTTTGATGCTGTAGTTCCTCCAAGAATCCACCATGAGCTTTCTTTAACCTCCACATCCCAGCAGTGTGTTCCCGAGTTAAAACCCTCTGAACCCAGAACACAGAAATACTCATCAAATCTCTCTGGATTATCAGAAAGACGTTGTTTTTCCCCACTCCATCTCACACTGGTCAGATCATCAGACAGGACGAGATTTCTATGAGCCATGTTTGGATCCAGAATCACAGGAGCTGATGAAACACAATCAACAGATGCTGTTATTCTGATGTTCATATAATGATCAAGAGTGAACAGATTTTCTCCAGACTCGCTGTTCTGGACGATGTCCTGTATCTTCTTCCAGACTCTGAAGGGCAGGTTGCTCAAGTAACGTGGCACATGAATCAAAGCTCCAGAAGGCATCTGTGGACCTGGCTGTGATGAGATCTGGACTCGGGAAGAACATTCAGGATCAGAACTGCAGAGGCTTTGAGACCAGAGACACCAGCAGATCACTTACCTTTTCATTGAGACTGGAAACTCCTGCAGAGATCATCAACAACTCAATCAATCATCAAGCATGGGATATCAGACCTTCAGAAAGCAGACATTGTCACTGGCTTTCATCATCTCCTCTATGTCTTTGATTGTGTGTGAAAGAGCTGAGATGTGTCTGTTCATCTCCTCCAGCTTCTCCTTCATCATCTGCTACTTCTGCTCCTCTTCTTCCCTCAGTGCAGTGATTGTAGCTTCTTCTTCATCTCTGAGAAACTGATGAAGCTTCTCAAACTGCTGTTTAATCTGATGCTCTGTGTACTCAGTTTGAGACTGAACTCAAACCACATTCACTTCGATTGTCTCAATCAACACAATCACATCATTCAGATCTGAGAGAAACTCAGATACCAACATATAATGGATCCAGAAGCAGATCGCTGCTCGGCAAAAATAATAATCTGTAATCCATTATATTCAATAAATAAGATCAATTGTATATGTGACCCGTGCTGGCAAAATGAGTCGGAATGCGCAGTCTAATTTTGAGTTCACAGGCAAAAGAAGTGAAAAATGTCAGTTTTGGTCGAATTTGAGATTTTCACAAAATGAGTTAAGTCCATTACAGTAGGTCCTAATATAGATCTGTCTCAATGTTAATCAAACATTAAAAGAAAAGACGGAATCACTCGCTGATCTTGATTAAACTACTGTTTATTTGCATCTTTGTTCTTATTTTTAATAACAAAGATAAAATAAAAAAACTAGCTATATTGTGAACAAATTTTATAAACCATACATTGTATTGAAGACATATTTTGTGCTGGTGTAAAATCTGGGTACTGTAATCTTACATTAATGGACAGATTTAATCTTATATGATGGTTGATGTGCTCAGATTATTTTTATTAATTAAACAATACATAAAAACAAAATATGGTTTTTATAATACTGATTAGGCATCCAGACAGATTTCCATGCCACTTATACTATACTGGGTCACGAGTGTGCTGGATGATTACTGACGTACAGCGGGGTGATCACATCGGAGTAAAGAGTTCAGGGAAACATAATGTTATAATAGTGTTATGGGAACGTTAAAATAACTTTATACAAACCAAAAACTAACATTCTATTTCCGTTAAGAAAAATTCCTGGCTAACCAAAAAGAAACCATGAAAAAATAACGTTCTAGGAACCAAAGACTGACGTTCCTGGAAACAAAAATTGTAAACTGGGAGTAGACGTAAAAATATACTCATGATACTCAAAATTTCATTGCAGTAATGCGAGTAGTTGTAATTCGTTACCTCCACCACTGTGCATATCCTAATAATTAACTACTTCTGCGAATCTATCATGTTACAGTGCTTGGTGTAAACTTATAATAATGGATTATTACTATGTCATGTGGACACACGCACGCGGCGGCCATTCTGAAGTCCTCAAGACCGCAAGCGCACCTGAAGTGAGCCATTTGGGACAGGGCAGAAAACACCTTTTGACTTTTCACTTCATATAACAAACAAACGAACACACATACAAAAGCACACACAATCACTCAGGATTCGGTGCTCTTGATTAAACTACAGTTTATTTGCATCTTTGTTCTTATTTTTAATAACAAAGATAAAATAAAAAAACTAGCTATATTGTGAACAAATTTTATAAACCATACATTGTATTGAAGACATATTTTGTGCTGGTGTAAAATCTGGGTACTGTAATCTTACATTAATGGACAGATTTAATCTTATATGATGGTTGATGTGCTCAGATTATTTTTATTAATTAAACAATACATAAAAACAAAATATGGTTTTTATAATACTGATTAGGCATCCAGACAGATTTCCATGCCACTTATACTATACTGGGTCACGAGTGTGCTGGATGATTACTGACGTACAGCGGGGTGATCACATCGGAGTAAAGAGTTCAGGGAAACATAATGTTATAATAGTATTATGGGAACGTTAAAATAACTTTATACAAACCAAAAACTAACATTCTATTTCCGTTAAGAAAAATTCCTGGCTAACCAAAAAGAAACCATGAAAAAATAACGTTATAGGAACCAAAGACTGACGTTCTTGGAAACAAAAATTGTAAACTGGGAGTAGACGTAAAAATATACTCATGATACTCAAAATTTCATTGCAGTAATGCGAGTAGTTGTAATTCGTTACCTCCACCACTGTGCATATCCTAATAATTAACTACTTCTGCGAATCTATCATGTTACAGTGCTTGGTGTAAACTTATAATAATGGATTATTACTATGTCATGTGGACACACGCACGCGGCGGCCATTCTGAAGTCCTCAAGACCGCAAGCGCACCTGAAGTGAGCCATTTGGGACAGGGCAGAAAACACCTTTTGACTTTTCACTTCATATAACAAACAAACGAACACACATACAAAAGCACACACAATCACTCAGGTCTGAATAAATTCAACATATTTTCCTCACATGCTCGCTGCTGCACTAAACCTTTATTTCAGTAGGAAAACACCTGAAAATACGCACAAGTAGCACTGAACCCCATGAAAACAACACAGAAAAGAGCCTGTAAAATGCTACTTAAACAAACCGTGTAAAATGTGTTTGATGCTTGTGTAAATATGTGAAATACTGTGAACTGTTGGCCTCACATCAGAAGACTTGACGCTGACTGAATGAACACGTGCTAGTGATGACGTCATCAACAGCAGATCATCAAACAATTCTATTTAACAACATACAAAAGCACACACAATCACTCAGGTCTGAATAAATTCAACATATTTTCCTCACATGCTCGCTGCTGCACTAAACCTTTATTTCAGTAGGAAAACACCTGAAAATACGCACAAGTAGCACTGAACCCCATGAAAACAACACAGAAAAGAGCCTGTAAAATGCTACTTAAACAAACCGTGTAAAATGTGTTTGATGCTTGTGTAAATATGTGAAATACTGTGAACTGTTGGCCTCACATCAGAAGACTCGCTGACTGAATGAACACGTGCTAGTGATGACGTCATCAACAGCAGATCATCAAACAATTCTATTTAAAACGGCAAAACATCTATAAAACAACACATCAAACAAAAATAAGGGTTACTAACAGACACACAGCCATCTCATTCAATCTCAGTCATGTGTGCAGTAAAATATAGTTGATTAGGCAATTACAAGCTTTATTGAGAAATTTAAAACAGCATGTGCTAGGTATAAATATAATTTATATCATGAAGCAAAATGATTTGCAAGAATAAACCTTTTTGACATTGTTCTTTGGGGAGGGACTTCATCTCTGAGTTGATCTGAATCTCACAGTTGAATCTGCTGGTTTTGAAGATAAAGATGAACTTTATTTACTGTGAAAACTTTAGATCTTTGTCATGACGCTTGTAATGTCTGGTTAGGACAGATTGATCCAGATTATATTTTACTGCTTGATGTATTATTGTGTCACATTTGGTGAGGACGCAGCATCAGACCTGAAAGTCCTGGATCTGAAGATGATCTACTTACTGTGATTGTTTTTTGTATGTCTGTGTAGAGAAGATGATTGATTGAAACACTTCCCACATGCAGTGCAGTGATACGGTTTCTCTCCAGTGTGGATCCTCTCATGTGTTTTCAGCTGTCCTGAATTACTCAATCTCATATCGCAGTGTGAACACATATAAGGTTTCTCTCCAGTGTGGATCCTCTCATGTCTTTTCAGGATTCCTGACTGAGTGAATCTCTTGTCACAGTGTGAACACTTATAAGGTTTCTCTCCAGTGTGAATCCTCTCGTGCCGTTTTAAACTGTTCGCTGAAGTAAAAGTCTTTTCACACTCAAAGCACATGTACTCTCTCACACCAGCATGTATTTTCTGATGTTCTTTTAAATATTGTAGACGTGAAAAACTCTTTTCACACAAATAACATGAATGTGGCTTCTCCTCTGTATGAATATTCATGTGTTTCTTCAGGTCTGAAGCCCACAGAAATGTTTTGCCACATTGATCACATGTGTACAGCTTCTCTCTAGTGTGGATGTTCATGTGATCCTTAAGGCTTGATGAGTGTATGAAACTCTTCCCGCATTGATCACAAGTGAATGGTTTCTCTCCAGTGTGAACCCTCATGTGTGCCGTAAGGTGTCCTTTTAGTGTGAAACTCTTCCCGCATTGATCACAAGTGAATGGTTTCTCTCCAGTGTGAACCCTCATGTGTGCCGTAAGGTGTCCTTTTAGTGTGAAACTCTTCCCGCACTGATCACACGTGTACGGTTTCTCTCCATTGTGAATTATCTCGTGTCTTTTCAGGATTCCTGACTGACTAAATCTCTTGTCACAATGTGAACACTTAAACGGTTTCTCTCCAGTATGAACTCTCATGTGAACATAAAGACTATATTTGCATGTCAAACTCTTTCCACACTGAGTGCAGGTGAAAGATTTCTTGGCTCTTCTTTTCTTTAAAACTTTCGGTTTTGTTTGAGAGCAACTCAAAGGTTTTTCTCCAGTTCTGAAGTGATTTTTTCCCTCAACTTCACTCAATTCTTCATTCTCCTCGTTTTCTTCAATCAATTCTGAAAAAAAAGTACAAATGGTTTATTTTCATTAACTCATAAAAAAGGAAATGTGAAAAGACATAAACGTGAACCCTGATGTAACAGCAGAAATTGCTATACAACATTTTGATCATTTTGATGCAGGTTTATAAATACATCTAGCATATTTTATATATACATCTCTGAAATCTAAAACACCTATTATGCCCCTTTTTACAAGATGTAATTTAAATCTCAAGTGTCCCCAGAATGTGTCTTTGAAGTCTTCAGTTCTAAATACCCCACAGATCATTTATTATATCATTTTGAAAATGCCTATTTTGAATGGAAGAAGAAACAGGCTGTTTTAGTGCATGTCTCTTCAAATGCAAATGAGCTGCTGCTCCCCGCCCCCTTTTCCTATCTCAGATATCTGCCAAAAAAACATCTGTTTGGTTTTGATTATCATGCCTATCGTGCTGAAACCATGCGTTTTAAAGCCATATCATTTTAAACTTCTGATATATGGTTCCTGGACGTTCACATGTTTAAGTTCTCTTTCACACACAAGTTTATGTTAAAAACGCACACGAGTTACAAAAACACAGTCGGTTATGTCTGTGAAGTTAAAGAGCGGGGAAAGAAATCGCATGTTTATATTAGATTTGTGTATTAAGTGACAGCAGCATAACATACTGCTGTTTGGGTCTACGCTGTTAATATGACCCAAACAATACAATAAATCAGAAAAACAACTTCTACAGCTGTAATAAGATGGCATTTCTTACTTGAATGCTGCTTTTAAATGCTCTAGCGTGAAGATAAACATGGCAGATTGTGTCAAGTACTGCAGAGCCAAATGACCTCCACCTCTGTGGAACTAATGGGTGGAGTCATGTTTAGCGATAGGGTAAGGGGTAGGGTTAGGGTGTGGTTGGGGTGTCTAGCTCCAGCTTCTCCCATTTGGCTCTGTAGCGAACACTAGGGCTGTGCGATTTGGGGAAAATATCTAATTGCGATTTTTTTTTACAGATATTGCGATTTTAATTTTGCAAAGTCAAGCTTCAGCTTAATATTGTCAATAGTGTGCAGCACAGTATGGGTATCAGTACCCTGCTGAAAAAAAGCAAAAAAAATAATAGAAACCATCACAGAAATTCTTATGGTTTCCATTAAAACAATTACAAAATTCCTATTTGTATTGTGTTTTGGGCATTATTCCAATAGGAATTACTGTTGTTCTATTGTTTCCCATCTGCCAGATTACATATCACCAATAGACTCCATCAAATACCAGTAGATACCATTATAGTTAACATTAAAGTCAATATAATTACCATTATAACCCTTAAACACGGTGCCAGGTGCGAGTTGACAGGTTGCGCGCGTGTCAAGCCTCGTCCATATTGCCAGACGCGCTCGTGGAAACTTGTGGTGCGGAGCCACGCGCGAGTATAACCGAGCATTACGAGACAGGCTATACGGAGACAGGCGCGAGTTGACACAGGTTGCAGCCGTGCGTCAAGCCTTGTCCATATTGCCAGATGTGCTCGTAGAGGCTTGTGGTGTGGAGTATACCGAGTATAAACGAGCATTACGAAACAGGCTGCGTATGTACGGCAAGTGTAAACGGATCCTCCGTGAGACGCGGCAGAGAGGAGTGAGTATGAGAAGCATTCAGAGACACAGGCTGTGTGTGCGGTCTTCTGAATTGGAAATAGCGAACATGCATTACAAACGTATTTCAAATTAGAATCTGTTGGGGAGATAAAATGTGCAAGGTAACGTTCATGTACTAATAAATACATCTAAGAATGTATCTTTTATTCTCCAGTACTGAAAGCAAAACCGATAAGGGAGCTCTTGATGTGTTGACACAGCTATTGCAAATTAAAGTTACTTTTTTTGTTTGGTGTCTGACATTTTGAAGCCGAAGTAATCTCATATTACATACGTTTTTCTTTTCCTGTAGACGCCATAATCACACACTCTCTCTCGCTCTTTTTTTTTTTTTATGTTGGGTGTTTACGCAATTGGCTAGAGCAATGCTGATTGGGGAGAACGGAGGAGTGCTCACTCTATTGGTTAGTAAGGCTGCCAGCCATGCATATGCTCTGGAACAGAGTAATATCGCGTCCATGTCGCAGGCTTTGAGATTAGCAAACCGCAACATCTCAAATGGCGATTGCGATGCGATTTCGATTAATCTCACAGCCCTAGCGAACACCCTCTTGATTGTGTGCAGCTCACTCAGGGCGGGGTCTCTGCTAATACGGCCTTCAACCCTTCGAAGCTCTCAATCTGGAGGGTAAACCCTTTGAAGGGATTAGGGCATAGGGATGAGCCCTTCAGAATGGAACGCAGGGAGTGTCCATCAACAATCGTGGGTGGGGTTTGTAAAATGTGACTTCTGTGATTGGCTTGCTCTAATACACTGCTTATGATTTATGGGGATTGAAAAAAGGAGCGGGAAGATTTTTATCATTATAGGATGGTTGTGTACACACACTGCCAAAACACATTTACGTTCAAACAACATGTAAAAGTGAATTTTGCGTAATAGGTGCCCTTTAAAGTAAGTTTTTGGATGTGTGCAGACCTTCTCTTTTGCGTGTGCAACGTTTCACTAGCTTGCTCCCTTGATGCCCGCC